GGGGCAACTTTTAGCGAGTTCCCACCACAGCCACGCACCATCTGTTTGAATCTTTCAGAGAAAAGGTTATTCCCCTTTTATTAGGTGTGACAGATTAATGTCTTTGAGGGCAGATCACTGTTGGGCTAAATCTTTATTTGGTTATGATTCCATTTAACTATAAAGCAGTCAGAAGGTTATGTGTTTTAAAAAGAAGTTTCTTGCAGTTTCCAACACTGAAACTACCGGCAAAGTGCATCTCTCTTCTCAAAAAGTAAATCAAAGCCACAGATGCACACGCACTCAGCCTTCTCACAGATACACCTACCTAAAGTAAAAACACATTACAAGACAATCGCTATAGATTCTGCAGCAAAACTGCTAAATTAACTTCCTGTGAATGCACACTTCACCTCACAGTGAATCCTTCCCCTTTGTTTGGTGCATGAGTGGGTGGCACTCCAAACATCTGGGGCAGAATTCAAAGCCTTCAGCTCCATCAGCACTTGTTTCTGCCTAACTGGTGTAAGAACCATGCCCACTCCTCAGCTAGAAGCAGCAAGATTCAGACATCTGTTGCAAAACCTCTACTTCAATCTTTGTTTGAACTAGACATTACACTTGGTTGATGAACTCCACCCTGCGGTTCTTGGGTCATTGCAGGAGTTGTGTATGAGGCAGAGGGGTGCTGATATTGCTGTGATTTGATTTGAGTTTTCCTTTGGAGTGGCTTTTTCAGGGGGGAAAAAAAAACAGTTTCCTTGAAATAACAGGTGTTTTTTTCATAGAAAAATCTAATTCTAGACTTCTATTCATCTGTGGAATTAATAAACATGCTCTTTAACAGAAATATTACACTACTGGGTCTTCGCTAACTGAATGGGAATACCTCCTTATTCTGCTTTTCTTTAGCAAGTCTAAAAGGTTTGACTCAGAATCTGTTCAAAAACTTGTGCTGTATTCATAGCAGTGCACAGCTGCTCAGAGAGCAGTGGTCTGACAGACCCATCCTCTTCTGGACTCCAAGCCTTTGCCTTCCCACATGCCATTATGGCTGTCTCTGGAACCATGGGGCACCTCTGTGCTATGGCAATTGCCTTCCGTGGAGACTGAGCTGGAGGTGCAAGCAGGGTTATCAGGCTGTCAAACTGCAATGACAGTGAGGCTGTGCACAACGGTGGGAATAAAAACAGTTCAAGCATACTGACTCAGAATAAAATTTCTTGGGTCAGGCCACCAAACCAAAATGAGCCAACGCTGGTTTCAGTGAAGTTAAAATATTCCATTTCAAATGGAGACAAATGCACTGAAGTTCATGAGTTCATGAATAGGTTTCTCCTTTTTTTTTTTTTTTTTAAACTTGTGAAGTTCAATCTATAATGAGTCTCTAATTTCAGTTTTTCTCCCTGATTTGGGATGAGAGCAAATGCCGAAATACCAGACTGAATTTCTTCCTGCCCAGGGAGAAGGCAGCTGATGCGTATGAGCACCTATTTTCAGGGTTAGTACAGCTGACTCTGAAGATTTGCACATTGGAGCGGAGAAGGTAATGGTGAGCAGATAGATGATGGGGCGGGGGAGTGGGCAGACAGCAGGAGATGGGAATGAGAAGCTGCAACATGGGCTATAACAGAAGAGAAAGGAGAGAGCAAAAGTTTCTGCTTAGCTGCCTGGGCTGTAGGAACTTCTGCATTGCTCTGGCGTTTCACTATTGGCCAGTGCCTAGAACAGCACCTTCAGTGCTGCTGAGCGACCAGCAGAAACGCAGCCGGTGCCACACTGAGGGCTCCCTGCAGTGAGGGTGAGAGGCAGAGACCCGAGCTCAGCCTGGCAACCATCCTGCAGTGCCATGCAGTTTCAATTCTGCTTTACGAAGCAGCCAAGCCCTTCCACACTGATAGAGCTGCGGGGCAGCAGGACCGGACTGTGAGCGCGCTGCTTGGGGCACCACAGCCCTTGCAAGCTAGATAGTCTTTCTGCTACTAAATCTTTTTTTGCAAATGGAACAGAATACTCATCTCTGGTATGCCTGAGAAGAAGCACTGGTTCCTATTCCTAACACACTGCAGTGTTTATTATGCTGATGATTTTATTATTTGACAAGGTTCTTAACTTTTTTTTTTAAGTATGCCAAATTGATATACTCTGTCCATCAGCAATGCCTTCCTGGAATGAGTAGCTAATTATAGAGCAGGACACCCGTGTTGTGCACAGAACAGGTTTCTCCAGTATTTACTGCCTACATTACTGGTCAAGCTTCCCTGTAAGTAATAGTCAAATAATGGGCCTGGGTCCTTTTGTGAATGGTTTGAGCCTGTGTGGTCCTTCTTTGTTTGAACAGCCCGTGGTTCCTGAAAGCTCCTGCATGCACTGTTCTGAGCAGCAGAGCCCAGTGGTACCAGCTGCTTCTGACTAAAACAAACATTCGCACGTGACATTTAAAAAAAAAAATCCAATTTCAAAAATGTATTTGGTTTTCCTTATTCCCTCATTTTTCAGCCCTTTTTATATCATTGGAAACATTTAGAAAATGAACACATTCAGCTTTTATTAACAAGCTTTTTTTTTTTTAAAAAAAAAGTAAAGCTTGAAGAGCAAAGAGAAATCTTTCCTTCAGAAATAAAGAAGCAGCCAGTGTTTGGAAATACTTTAACAATAGACCATATGGGAGTCCCAAACTATTAAGCTTCATTACTCAGAAGGCAGAAAATGTGGTTTGATATTCAACTGATATACAGCACAAACGAGAGCCACAAACTCTGCTCCCTTGAGCTGGGATTCAGATGTTCTCCTGAATATAATAACTAACACTTTGGCCTAGTTCCATAGAATGCATCCAGCCTGCTGGTCACAAGCCAAGAAACTGTAGGCTCTTTTTTTTTTTTGTCTTCCCCTCTCTTCTCCAAAGTACTTTCCTGCCAGCATGAGCTTTTGACCTGAATATAAATTTCCTGATATTAGATGCATATAGAAAATGGGAGGGTGCTAGTAGTGCACAGCAGTGGAGCTGTGTGTGCGTGTATGTGCATTTGGTTTTCCTCAGCTTTAACAATAAAAATATTTTCTCTCTGTGATGTGCTGCTGGTCATAGGTGGGAACTTCTTTGTTCCTGTTTCACTGTTTGTTTCTTATAGCTTCAGGAGCAGGTGAACATCTTATGGAGATGTGAAATGATGCCAGAGACCATAAGAGTGAAGAATTTGTTGGATAGAGAGACTGGAAGTGATTTCAGTTGTTTCATTGTTACTGTTTTTCCTGATCTGTCTTGTGTATATTTATAATTGCCCTTTTCCCTTTCTTTCACTTCTTTTCACTACTTTTTCACCTATGGAGAAAAGAACCCATAAAAGTTGCTTATAAAACGCTACGTACATGAACTAAGATTGCATGTCTGCAAGGACAGGGAGAAAGTTACCCAGATACCATGACCAAGAATTGCAGGCTGGATCACCTGTTAGGTTTTGACAAAGGATCCCTGATTCCCAGTGCATGGGATGGAGCAGCTTTGTCAGTGTGAACATGGGAGGTGAGAGATGAATAAGGAATTACAGGGGTACAAGAAATGGTCTGGTGGATATGGCAGATGAACAAGATTTTTCTTGGATTTTTGTGCTAAATGTATACTGTGTATAATGTATATCCATGTATATCTTTAAGTAACATTCTGCCCAGTCTTGTGTCAGTCATCCTTACTAGGTTGGCTCTTATCTTCTCCAGCATCTCAGAATCTGAAATCAAGCAAGGAGCCTTCTCCATGGATCTGTGATTTCCCCTGAGTAAGCTGGAAGCTTCCAGCATTAAGCTACCTGGCACTCTACTCTGTAAATGTGATGAACCCAATCAAAACTCTTCACTTTATGTTTAAGTCCAGGATCGCCTGTAATGCAGAACACTACAGAGTATATAAATTATGCAGTCTGCTTGTGAAGTTTAGTTTTGACTTCTGTCTTTCCTCCATTTCTCTTTCCAATTGTTCGTGACAGCTGAAATTTTCCATGTTTTTGTTTCAAGCTATGTGCAGGTTTTTTTCCTTTGGGGAAAACTGCAGCAAAATCAGTGTAGTACAATTTTCAACCTCCTTTGACTTGCACCTACATCTGTTTGGTGTGGGGAGTGGAACTTTATCATAAAACTGTTTGATTTATTTAATGTATTCAATAAGCATCCATGGTGTGCCAGGTACTTTCTCAGCCTTTTTGGATGAGAAATCTTGCAAGCTAAGAACTTAATAAACAAAAAAGCTACAGAACTCAAATCTTTGCTGGTTTTAAAGTCTCCATATACCTAAGGAATAAACCGAGTTTGAACAAAGCCGATCCAGAGACTTGTAAGGAACAAAATGTCACATGCAAGTACTGATGAGATCTAACATTATAGGAACAACTATCACGTGTCTGAGTTACAACAAATAGTTTAGTCCATACAGCAGCTCTACTTCTGTTGCAACTGCTAGCCTATTTCTATTGATGAATCCATTACTGTGATTACATGATGCTGTCTAAGGCCACATCTAAACAGGGTCATTGATTCAAACCAAGGTAAGTGTATGGGAACTGCTGAGTCACGGCCTGAACCTCTGATTGATCACCTGAGGCGAGCCATGAGTCAGGCAGAGGAGCACAGGTGAAGGCAATTCAATTCACCTGTGCTGCCGGAAGGGGTGGAGCCAGGCTGCACCTCTCCTAGACCTATTGAAGAGCTGGCTGCCAGTGGGGAAGGATCTCTTCTGGAGATCCCTCCTTCTGGTGTTTTGTGGTGAGCCCACCATAAGGGTAAGCCTTCCATTTATTCTCTCTTGTTATCATAGTTCACTTCGCTTAACTCTCTTGTGTATTTTGTGATTGTAACATCTTGATATCCATTGATCATACAGTAAGTTACAAGTCTGAATGGACAAGCTGTTCCTGATTAACTTCATCATCCTAACAAAGAGGTGATTGGGAATGATTAATAGGGAATAGCTGTTCTGGAATGATCCTTTTTTAAGACAAACCCTTACTCTTTCTATGATTGCATTCTAGGAAGCTATTCTGTACTGAATCAGCATGGGATAGAGTGCCTAGAAGATGTTCAGACCAAGCACAGCTAGCGGTGAGTGGGGCAATATACACTGGGATGCCCTGTTGCAAAAATGAGTGAGCAAGAGAGTAGCAAAACTGATTGCTTGTGCATCTCTCCAGAAGGCAACTGAAAGTATTCCATCAAAACCACTGTACAAAGGCCTCTCCCTTAGCGGGGTGAAGTATTTGCTACCTATCACAATCTGAGCACTAACCCCATGTTATGGACAGAAAGCAAATTTCAGTTTATAACAACTTTAGTTTATCACAACTGAATTAAGTATTGGGGTGTATGCCTTCTTTCATTGTGTATACTTACGATATTATGTGGAGAGCAATCAGTCTACCAAACCAATCTCATTATTCAATTGTGGGAAAGACAATTTGTCAGAGGAAAACTTATTTTTTTAAGGTGGACAGAAAATTCTTTTAGTTCAAAAAACTGTCTTTTTTGAGTATTATTTACACTAACAAGCCATTAAATAATATTAAAAAAAAAAAAAAAAAGTAAAACCCAATAATTTTTGAAGCCAAAGGAAATTTTCCTTTACCATAACATTCTGTGCTTGACCCTGCCAAAGAGGATGGGCTGGAGCAGAGGTGGTACTTCTGTAATTCAATGCATTGTAGTTGTGATATAGTTGCTGCTAATTCATAGCTCTCCTGACTTTTGGAATTTGTCCTTTCTCTTCAAAGGGCAGGTGGTAGGATGGAATGGAGAACCTTTGGATGTTAATCCACCCTGGCTTTCTTAAGCCTCCTACTTAAATCATTATCTTAATGAATCACCATTGCTGCTATCTTCAATGCTACTCAGGAACTTGCATATTTTAAACAGCCTTGGGGAAAGACCTTTTTGCCTGCAAAGTGCTTTGCTACTTGCATTTAGATGTTGCCAGGATAGGTACCTTGGATACTACTTTCTGCCAAACCCAGTGGATAGATCATGGGGCCTAGTGTATCACCATGTGTGCCTGCCAGGCAGCAATCAGGGCTTGCCTCGGAGAGAGAGATATAACTTTGCTTTCTGTTATCTTTCTCATGGTGTGTTAAAATGCCTCCCAGAAATTCTTAAATAGGGTTAAAAAAAACTTCTCTGATGTTTCTCCCACCATTTGGCAGCATCTGAGCAGCTACTAAGAAGCTACTAAGAGAAATTGCATCTGAGCACTGTGACTGACAGTGCTGTTGTGAACAAGTGATGAACACAGCAGTACACAAGATTTTGATCTGCAAGCGTATCTGTCATTAATTTTAAGGGCTTTAGGATCCATGGTAGAAGAGAAGGGAGATAAGCCAAGCAATTATATGGAGCAGCTATATTTGGGGAAGCATGCCTCTTGGGATTAACACAGACTCATGAAGTTGTGTAGTGAATTGTGCATCACCGTGCCAAGTCTGACTGATTTTGCAGGGCACTCATTAGAAAGGGGATGCCTGGGAAATTTCTAATGGCTTGGATATTTGCTGGGATGAGGTTGAGAACATTTCCTTGGTTGGGAAGTAGATTTCAATGCATCAATTTTTCTCCCTGCCTGCTAGAAGGAATTATGTACTACCTGCTTGTCTGGTTTGTGGGGCTTCTTGAGCAACAAATGGAGAAAGGAGCTGTGAGCTTCAAGGAGCTGCAAACTGGCATGCTTTTGGGAAGACTTCCGGGAGTGAGGAAGTGGAGATAGCAGGGCCTTGAAAACTCTGAGTTTCGTTTCTCCCAAGTAATATGGGAGAAAAGTCTCCTTGTGGGGAAATTGGAAATGATCTCACAGAGGAATAGCGGATGGAGGAGAAGAGGCCAGAGTTACCTCTCAACATGCAAGAGGGTGTTTGCCTTCTGCTGCTGCATGTGCAGCCCTAAGCCTGGTGTAGCCACAGTACTGAGCAACTGCAGACCAGGAAGTGGGGGGGTGTGGGCGTGGAGCGTCCTTTGTTGATTTTTTTGGTAGATATTTGACAGTACAGGAGGAGCTTTATTTTGCTGGTTAAGTGGACATTGATTAAATAACCTGCTAAGTGGCATCAAAGATGAACTTAAACTAGAAAAAAACAAAACAAAACAAAAACAAAAAAAAACAAAAAACAAACCAGTAAGTAACAGCCTTATCACCTTTTTTGTTATTATTTGTTTTTTAGCAAGGTAAGGAAGGCAAGGTTTGTTGGAAGATCTTACATAAGAAGGTCAACTAATAGAGTGGCAAAATCAGGTAGGACATGAGTGAAAAAAATACATTCAATTTATACATAAATAGCAAAGAATTAAGTAAGTGCAAGATGAAGAGACCCGATAAAGGGCAAAACTAGGGAATATTTTCAGGAGGACATGTTCTTCCACAGGCTATAGAGCTGAATACAGTAAAGCGCTGGTTGAGTTAGTTGGTGTTGGCCAGTGGTGACAGCAGGAGCTCAATCAGAACTGGCTCTGTGCTGTGCTGTTCTCTCCCAGGGCCAGAGGGACCACCTGAGCCCCTGGGGAAGCTCCCGGTGAGCACCCCATGTGCAGGCTTTGGTCTGCAAATCAAATCAGAGGTAGTGACAGATGGAGAGCATGTGGTGGGTGGTGGCAATTCTAAAAAATTCGCATCTGGATAAAAGTGTAATTCTTTAAATTAGACAAAGAAGGCTTCATGTGAGCTGGGGGAAGTTAGGAAGGATCTCGGCATGCATCCTTAGATCATGGCAAACTGTTTCTTCCACGGCAGTTCTGGAATGCCATTATTTTCCAAGTTCTTTTTCCTACTTTAGGCCCCCCATATTTAAAAATAAAAGGATACCCATACATACAAAAAAAAAGCTCCTTTTTTTTTTTTTTTTTTTTTAGCTGTCTGGAGTTTGGTAAAAAGCTAAGAGATCTATGGTAGCAGTTGCTGGGGGAATGTAATTTTTCCCTTACCATCTCAGCAGAGTGTTTTAGAGCTCTCTCTGAAGTGAATCCCCCAAAACATTCTTACAGAGACTGAAGGCCAGCCGGGAGGAAATACTGCACTCTGTGAGCCATCAGCAAACTCTCTGGTGTTTACCCCATCTGGTAAACCAAATAGAAACTACCAGTATGCTGCTGTCTGAATTCACAACGTGCTAATATTTTACACGCTATCCAACTCTGATTGCCACATCTCAAAGGTAGTAGAGCATCCAGAGATTGTCGAGGATGGATCTCAGGTCAGGCAACAAGATTTCTTTCTTCACCACAGAAAAGAGATGACTTACTATAGAAATTGCAGCTGTTTTATGCTTTTGTGAACTGTGTGAGGAAGGAGAATGATTCTTTGAAGTTCTTGTGTTGTCTTAACTAAGCTGAATCAAAGCAGGCAAGCACAGCACATGCTTTCAAGCAGCAGTTATCATGTGAAACTCATTGTCAAAGGCTGTTATGGACAGCAGAAGTGTAAACGGATGCAAAAATCGATGAAGGACAGATAAATTCTTATTAAAAGTGATGGCCAGGATTCAACTTCAGGATCAGCAAATCTTTAACAATTGCAGAGGATTTAAGCAGGGAAAAGGGTGCCTATACTCCACCTTATCAAAATGCATTGTTCTGATACTATTCTGGCTCCTCCTGAAGAACAGAAAGTGAATCCTTTGCTCTATTACAATATGGCTATTTTTATAGTTAAAAAGTAGAAGGGAAACTAGCCACACTGCAGTGCAGTGAACTAGTTTTGTCTTGCAGCCTAACAGTGCTGAAAAGCACACCAAAATGAAGAGAATTAGCAGCCAAATGCCTCCTGATACCTTAAAAATCTCTCTGTGTTATGAGATGTCTCTGCAGCTTGCTTACTTCATACAATTTCTGACTTAACCAAAAGCTGTCTAGTTAACAAAGGAGTGAGTCACTACAGTGTTTCTAGTTATTTTTCCTACCCTTGTGTTTGCTGCTACAGTTGATCAGGTTGCCTGACTATGTACCCAATGAGATGCCATGTGGTCTCCTGTAGCAGTGACACCTTTGGCTGGAAGCTGAAGATGCTTTGGGGAGCACAGCAAGGAAAAGGAGCAGTGAATTGGGAAGGATATCCTAAAATCTCTTGTATATGCATAAAAGCAGGAAAGTCTAATACAGAGCATATAGTTGTGACCGCAGTGGCAACAGTTCGTATTTTGGAGTTGAAAAAATCAGTTTTGTATTTTGCTAAATAACTACTGTAATATAGCAGTACCTCTTGGCAGGGAAACCAATGTAATGTACAGCACTAGAGCATGGTAGAGCAATTGGAGAACTGTCAGAAACCCAGCAGCTTGGAATGCTTCTACTTGAACCTGGGTGCACACTGCAGCATGGCATTCCTCTGCCCCAGTGTGTGCAGACTGCAGCACAAGCTGAGCGATGCACCTTACACACAGTGCAACCTGGCTCCACAGAGGAGGGCAACAAGACACTCTAACACAAAACAGCAAGAGTTTCTTTCTTCTATTGAGTTTTGACTCCTTTGGGGAGTTTTGTGATTTCTTTTGCATCTCATGGAGCCCTTCTGAGTCTGCATGCCAGGCATCTCTGGGGCAAAATTCTGTAGCTGTCAGCTGTCATTGCCTGCCACATCCAGTTACCTGGGGGCATCAGGCTACCAGAGAGGCAGCAAACAGCTTGGGCACTACACCAAGCTGCAGGAAAACTGCTTTGTCTGATCTGATTGGGCAAACAAGGAAGTAACGAGTCTCTCTTTTTTTTTTTTTTTTTTTTTAAGTTTGTATTTCCAGAGGGCTTTGGAGCCATTTGGCACTGGCTTTTATTCCAATCTTTAATTGTTGGATAAACTTAGCAGTCATACTTGTGGTTTTTAAGCCTCTCCCCTTTTCCTGCTCCCAGCATTCTCCTTGCCTTCAAATCCTCTGCCTTGTTCCATGTATTGCTACTGTAAATTGCTTGGGATGATGGGTCTAGCTCCTGACTTGCAGTCTCTGGATGCCATCAACAAGTAATTGTTGGGAAAGCTTGTTTAAACATCAGATCCCTACATTATTTTTTTAAATTGCCCTTTGAGGTGGCTGAAAAGCTACTGAAAAATTCTTTTCTTTTAATATTGGACAAGACAT